CCATGAACTCATGGAGTTCACCAGGCAGAACCGGTTATTTCCGTCAATTCTGCCGGCTGATTCCAAGTACGTAAGTGGCAGTTCCATAATCCTCGGTCGATCATACGCATGATCTCCGTCTCTGAGTTTCGGCTCGAAAGCACGGCTGATAATTTCGTACTACTCGGCTGGAACCTTGCTATATTTCCATTGTAGCGGCGTAATCTAGTAATTGGCATATCTTAGTAATTGGATTTGCACCTCAAAAGTACAGCTGAGGCAGTATGATTGTGATTAACACCGCCTTTTTTGGATCGAAAACCGTGAGACTTTCGCTTTTGGCCCAGTCCAGGCCCTGGTGTGGTCACGTGTGCTATGGAAGTTGCTGACTTACATGACCTATTTTTCTTGACAGTCGTAATTCGACTTGAATTCGACCCTATCATCTTCCTGCACTACTAGTACGGCTCAAGTGAGTTAGCAATCGCCTGCATGTGAATCAGATCTCAGTATCGACAATGATATAGAAATATCATCCGCTAGCTGATAAGGGCTTCCGAGTCGTCATTTGATTAGCAAGTAACATGGGTGGGATCAAAATGACTTGAGGATAGTCTACTAGTAAGTGGCGGTGGCCCATATATTTCTGTATGCGATGCTTCTATGTATAAGATCAACAAGCGAAGAGCCGGAGTCGAAGACTAAGCCTAAGTGCTCACCAAACTAGGCTTGGACGGCCCGGGAAACCCAAAAGCCCAGCCACTTTCGCTGGAACATCTTCGATCGGACCCTCATCATTAAGATTCACCTAACCGACCTCAGGCAAGTCAGTCCCTGCATTCGCACACATTTCTTATCTTCATCCCATTATTATCCAAGTTCGAGGTTGTCAGACAATTGCCCAATTTAGCTTCTCTTCTGGCTTTATTTCAACACATCCGGTGGTGCTTTGCTTCAATGTGGCTTCGGCAGGACTGACGAAACCATAGCTATTCTCAGACAATTAACGTTTCTGTTTCAGCCCTTCCAATCAGTGGCAACCTTCTGGCCCAAATTTTGTTTGGCCCGGCAGAAGAACTCAAAGCGCAATAGACCAACTCGAGTCTGAAGTGTCGGACAAATCGGAAATACTGAATACCAGTGTCGAAACTCCTCGATACGATGAAATTTCCGCACCTGAAGAGTTTGATGCGGGGAAAACATGCCAAAAAGTTCAGAGGGTACGTACCCGATTATTTCCTCACTCTTTTGTTGGAATATTCCTTTTACATCATTGCGAGATAATCATGTATCCCCTTTCTCTTTCATCCGAAATGCTGTATATTTACGTGACTGGTAGCAGGTGCCGGAGTCACAGAGTGTAGCAATTTTGGCACCCGTCATGCTCACGAAATGGGTGAGGTTAAGGACGGTAAGGAAACACGACAAGTCAATTGATCCGAGCAACTTTATTTCTGGGCTATTTCGCCTTCACGCCCTCGCGGCTATGTTGCTCCTGTGTGTGGTCTGCACAATGCTGCTTCTGTTTTCTGAATCGGAGATCTTCGAACAGCGATTATCGTTGTGTCATTGGAAACTTCAAACTCGGACCAATGCCACACGGACTGTTACTGTTGATGCTCGAGTACGGCAGGAGGAACTAGTAGCATCCTTCGGGCCGGGACAAATTCGCCCGTGATTCTGTCGGAACAATCTGCGGCAGCTGTGGCTAGCCAGGCTAGGATTGCCTTCACGCATGGGGGCCTACACATGCTCGGTACATACCAGTATCGCGATATCAGAGAGCGTAAGATACAAATGGCCCCTTTGACTGTATAAAAGCAATACACCTTGAACCAGAGACTACAAGCTTCCGCTGCATCGTGCTTCTCAATCTGCGACTCATGGCTAGTCCAACCGTTTCCAAAACGCCTTCTGTGTCCAAACCCCAACCACTACGCCAAGATGCTGATACCGAGTCGTCCACAGGCGCAGCTAGTACAATTGACATAGAACACGTTCCAGTTAACGACGACCCCCGTCAGTGGAGCCCTGCTAGAAAAGTACGTGTATCACACCTGCACTCTGTGACCAATCTGATGCTGTACCATCTGTAGACCACGACTTTGTGCATTGTGTCACTGGCTACAATGATGTCTGCATTAGCTTCTAACATCCAAAATCGTTTGTCGCATGTCTTTTCACACCCAGTGGTTTCATATTGATATCGTCTTGCAGCCTCGAACTCGTTGATAGAGGTAGATCTGCATGCAACAAGCAGCCAGATTAGCTGGACGTTGGCGGCATTCCTAATCATACAGGGGAACTTTCCTCTATTATGGAGCGCCGCAAGCGAAATTAAAGGCCGTAAGGTTGGTCTATGATAGGCACATCTCCTTGATCTACATGATGAATGCGAATTTTGTTTATCACAGCCTGTCTATTTGGTGGCTTCGGCTTTATTTGTGGTAGGAAGTGCTGCGTTGGCACTTTCCAAGACCATCGAGGTGATGATCGGTATGCGAGCACTTCAAGCTGCGGGGTAAGCATCCATGCAAAAAGCTTGGTCATTGATTGACTCCCCCTTCTGCAGGTCATGCGCTGCCATGTCTATTTCAGCTGCGACACTGGCTGATATCTACGACACTCACGAGCGAGGGACCACGATGGGTATCTTCTTTGCTGCACCTCTCTTAGGACCCGCCCTGGGCCCTATACTCGGGGGGTCGTTGTCACAAGCCTTCGACTGGCGTGCAAGTTTCTACTTCATGCTTATCTGTGCAGCAGTCGTATTCTTGTCTTTCCTCGTCCTGTTCAAGGATACATACCGACGTGAACGGAGCCTCACCTATTGCTCCGCTTTACAGCGACTTCTTACCTCCAAAGAACGCGTTCGGAGTCCAAACGAATCTATCATCGTTGGGCATGAGTCCAACAATGACCAAACACCTGTCATGGATGTCGAGAAGCAGCTCCAACCGCTGGATGTTCCAGACCATATTTCAACGGTGACTTCTACACCAGGACTGGACGATGTCAAACTATCACTCAGGGACATCAACCCATTTCCACCATGCTTTCGAATTCTGTCGCGCAAGAACAACGTTTTAATTCTTATCGCTAATGGTGAGTGAGGAGTTGTCCTCATGTAAATGATGTTAGTGACTCAACTTCGGGATAAGGACTCATCTTCGGATTTACGTATTGTCTTTCATACACGTGCTCTCGCACTCTCGCCAATGCATATGATTATAGCGCGTTTAGCATTGGCTTGGTCTTGCTTTGCTTGGGCGTAGGTGAGGCGATCTTCACACCCTGGATTGTGGCAGATCAGTGACTAATTTCCTATGAAGGAAGTATCGCTGGGAGTGTACTTAGTGGGCGTTGGTCTGATCGGGTGCTTGCAAAGATGATCGAAGCGAACGGAGGAAAGTGGCACGCAGAAGTGAATATTTTCTACACTCTCGCATTAGAATTGTTAACTGACGTCTTCCGTAGATGCGGTTAGAGAGCTCGAAACTGGCGATGCTGTGGCTACCTCCATTTGTCGTCGGATATGCTTGGGTGTGCGAAAAGCATGTGCATGTCGCCGTCATTTGCGTCATGCTCCTACTTATTGGATTCTCCTCCATGTTAGTAGACCAATTCTTCACGCTCGTAGTTGCTCTGACATATACTTCTAGATGGATGTATACTAGTACATTGGCATACCTCGTTGATGCCAACCCTGGTCGCTCATGTTCAGCGGTGGCGACCAACAGCTCGATCCGAGGATCCCTGGCTTTTGTTTCGGTTTTAATTGCTGTGCCGCTCCAAGTAAGTTCCTTGATACCTGTTGCAAATCACAGGTCCTAATGTTAGAGCGCTCTCTGCGCAGGATGTTTTAGGAGATGGGGGATTATATTCGGCATGGGCTGGCGTCATGGTTGTGATGGAATTACTGGTTATATTGGTACTGCAAAAGGGAGAATCATGGCGCAAGGAAATTGAGGAGCGTGAATTGAATACTAAATGAATTATGAATCGACATCTTCTACCGCACTCATATGTACAATACCATTCACAGGGGTCTAACATTCTAGTTAAAGCGGTGATATCGGGTCTCAAATATATAACTTAGGCTACATGTATTTTGGTTTACATTGTACGGATTCTGTATGACATAGGGGATTGCAAAGACTTGAAAAAATGCCTCGATGCTAATCACAGTGACGGGATTAAGATGGAACCTGAACGGAATCATTACATTTCAGACCGTGTTGGATCCTGATGTTATAAAATATGTTCCCCCACCCAATTCCAGACCGTTTCTCCATTACAGAGGAGGGGATATCATCAGTCAATGCACGGGACCTCAGGCCTCAGTACTCAGTGAGTTCAGACTGCAATCACAAAGCCAACAGCCAAAGACCTCATCCCCCGATGATTTTAGAGGCAGTCAGATACCCTCAGTCAGAAAAAAACCCTTCTCGTTGACTGCTTGCTGTGATAGTCTTCTTCTTGTCCTTTCTTTACCTCTTCTTCTTCTAGCCCCACACAAAGTCTCTCACCTGTTTCTTAAACCACGTTTTCTCCTTGCGTGGAAGAGGTTGCGTCCCAGTTCAAACACCAGTTCTGATTCAGGTTCCCGTTACCAACATCACATCTACAGTCTGCCGGTTGTATCACTCAGACTGGCGAGGTAAGTTCTAATAACCACCAGTCTATCCCGACTCGCTTGGACTGGCACACTGCGCGTATGTCTTCCTCGGCGTTCTTACCGGCCCTGTCGTCACCTCCGACGGTCGACCCATGGTATCTCTTGATACCAACTTCTGTCTGGAGCTTGGAAAACATCTCGAAACGCATTATCATTAAAGGGGCGGGTCCAGGTGGCGTTAACTCTGTTGTTTGACTCGGTGATGCACATGTCACTGATGGTAAAGAGACTCGACGGGACGCGCTGACGCGGATGGATGTGCGTGTCACGTGTGTGGGAAGTTGAGTTGCCACTCGGAGGAACTAGATAATGTTCATTAGATAAGATAAGATGAGCGCCAGTGACTCGGACTGCATGGATTACCATGTACCTTCACCACTCAAGTACTCACCTCTACACCGTCAGACATGCATCATATCACGCATCATCTGAAAGACCAATCTAATCTGAAGCCATACTACAGCGCAGCCACTCAGCACGAATTCCTCACAGCTGCTGGTACGTTGAGCCTATCTCCAGGCCGTCTTGCACTGTGGCTCTGTCAGGATCGCATTTATGCGGCACATGCATATCCACGCTTTATTGGTCTGCTCATATCAAAAATTCCCTTCGATGGACCTGCTGTCGAAGAGGAATTGAACAGAGAGACTCTCGCTCTGTTGACAATATGCTTGGAGGGGATTATTCGTGAGGTTGCTTTCTTTGAAGGGGTCGCAAAGGAATGGAGCTTGGATATTAACGGTTGGATGGAGCGGAAAGCACGCGAGATTACACAGCTGAAATGGCAAGGGTAGCTTCTGTTGGTTCGTTGGAAGAGGGGCTCGTGTTTCTGTGGGCAATGGAACAGGTGCGTGAGACTCGCAATCGACATTACACTACTTGACACAAGCCCCTTAGGTATACCTCGACGCATGGAAGTATGTAAAATCCTTGTTCCCTCCTCAAAGCGACTTAGAAGACAATACTGCGAATGCGATCCGCCAACTAACAAACAACTGGACGACACCGGAATTCGAAGAATTTGTCCAGAAGCTGGAGGTTCTGGCAAATAGGCACTTCGCGAGACGTCACCATGGTCATTTGCACTCAGCTGTACGTGCGATGGAGAGTATTTGGGCGAGAGTCGTGGAACTTGAGGAGATGTTTGGCCCGAAGACG